GAGCGCACAACGTCATGCTCCATCCGTGCTGTGTCAACGAAAGCAGGCAAAGCATGTAGATGGCAGAGTAAACTAACGGAGAGTTTCTACAGTCGGCACTATTAGGATTCCAAGAGCACACAGGTGCGCTACCTGCGGGACAAATGCAGAAGGCGCTACGTAATTAGCAATCAAAGATGCGCGCTGACACGTACCAACAGACACAGATAGAAGTTGGCATTTTTTTTCACGCAACTCTTCACCAACTGTCTCATACCTGTTCGACGTTATCCCTGTTCAGCATCGATGAATCACACCTAGAGCACGCCTGCCGTATTTGCGACTTGCGATGAATGAAGATCATGGTAAGCACAGTAAACTTTGAACGCTCACTTTTGGCAAAAGAGTCACACTACACCAGCGGACCAATGAACAGATCGCTGCAGTCAGCGTGATCGTAGTCCTCATCATCGTCGTTACTACCATCAGCAACACCGTACATGCTTATTTCTTTGCACGGCAGCGGCTTTGCTGAACGCACAATGGACAGACGATGGACAGTGGCCAGTTGCACCACTAAGTGTGAACGTCGTCCTGTGCCCGCTTGGTATCATACGGATAGGTGACGACGAACGTCAGTCGTTTCAGTCAATTCACAAAAACCAAATTTGCCAGGTAAATAATTTCACAGCGATGACTGACGCCTACATGACAGATGACAGCAGATAAAGAGATGTGACAGGAGACGAACATCGATAACGACACATTTCATTACGGATGAAACGCGTGTGTCAAAGACGCGACCATTTGCACGTTAGAGCCAAGCAGTCTGGTAACAACGACGAAATAGCCAAAACTGTTTCTTGTGCTCTTTTTCGTCACAAATTTATATTGGGCGCCGCCCCGCTGTGTGTATGCGTAACCCGACAAGAATGAGAGCTTCAAAAGCCGCACGGACACAATATTCAATATGAAAGGCTGCTTATTTTATGGCGTCGTTCTTTTCTTGTACAACTGTCACGGTATATGGATTTTCACTGAAAAGCTGACAAAGCGTCAACAGTATCGTGTCGTGCATTTTACCATCATTACAATAGTAACTGCTACAACCGCGACCATTCAACAAGCACTGTTCCCATTTGGAGTAGAGCCGAACACGGCAGCACCGCCCATTACTTTAACTGGCATTTAGTTTCCAATTCATGCATTCGATTTATCGATGGCCTTTAATGAAGCCGGCTGCGCCACTCAGTAAAGTCTTACAAATTTTATGGCCAGTTTTATCAGAACTAGGTTATACCTGTATTGTAGGTTACATTTGGCGGCAAATCGAGGCAGCAAACCTCTCGTGTCACCCACTGTCGATGAAATGCTCTCACGCGCGCCTCGTGGATGTTTTTAAAAGGAGCTGCCTGTTCAAATCCTATTCCTTTCGATAGATGGCGCATCACGTCACATTGTCGTTGAGTTTTGCGACGTTCCGGATGTCAGC